CCACACCCTCCTCCGCCGCGGCTCGTTGCTGGAAACACGAGGTTTTTTTTACATACCATATATATCTGAATAATGACCTTCTATGTAACCAGTTACAAACTATGAGCAGGGTAAACGGTATTATAACAATGTTTTACTTAAAAAAAATCATTCTCGATACACGGAAGATAAAGCAAAGAACGATTTCCTGCTATAATGGTAAAGGTCTATTTTGTCTAAAGTATTTGAATTTTGACATTTTTAATTAAAACTTGTAAATATAGACAATAAAACCGCAATATCAAGAGTGCAAGTTGTCCTATAAAGTACACCGAACTTGTAAAGAAGGTGGTACTTTAAAAAGAAACAATGAAATAAAGTTTTAATTTGATGTAACATGGGAACAGGTATACCTGTGCACTGCCGCATTGCCCTGCCATAATATAGTTCCACACTAATACGGAGAGTAGGTGAACAATTTGCTAATAAGCAAACCAGGGGTGGAACCTTGGGGATAGGTGTTTTACCTGTGTGTTGTTCCTGTTGGGGTGCACGAGGCAGTGCACGACGGCGCGGTGGTGCAGGCCGCACGCCTCCAGCGTGGCCGCCTCCTCCAGCAGCACGCGCCCGTTGAAGATCAGCCGCACGCGGCTCTCCGCTGACAGCTCCGCGGAGAAGTGCCGCCTGACACACAACTTCAACTATACCTTCTACAAACCTCGGTAATATAATACTAATATTCTATGTTATAAAGAGTAAAGATTTGTATTTTTGTATATAATGAAATGAGTAATGAGTCGATTTCGATAAACATTCTTTTACTGTTAAAAAGCTATGTTATCAGTGGTAACATAGGGTACATGTATTAGTTTTCAATTTCACGCGGGTGAAAAACACACAAAAGCTATATGCTAAAAAATCGATATTTACAAAAAAATCTCATGAAACATTTATTGTCACATAACTGTATGCCCTTAACTCATATTTATTTCATAACTATTGCCAGCGATTTCAATCACACGTAATTAAAAAAAAAACTAGTACCAAATTAAAAAAAGCAACAGCAAAAAAAAAAACCTAAAAACACCAAGTGTTCTTCCAAGGCTATGATCTACATCTATGCTAAATTACATCCAGATCCCTTAAGCAGTTTTAAAGATACTTAGTAACAAACATCCTTCCATCCACACTTTCGCAATGTTCTTGCAATAAATACTTATTATGACAGTTACATTTTCAATATATATATATATTCTAGATAACAAGGAGATTAGTTCAGCTTACAATGTGATCAAAAAAGTTTATTATTAAAAACATACCATTTGAAATCCTTCAACAGTTCATCAAGGCTACCTTCAACCTCTTTTAAAGTATCATTCAAATACTTTAACTTGATAAGTATTTTTCTTCTATCTCTTTCTGCAATTATATTATCTGCAGGTGCATTTTCACTGCCTTCAACCACAGCGGTTGCATTTCCACTATCATTTTCTGCATCAACATTCTCACTTGTATTTACTGCGGTTATATTTTCTGCAGAATCGTTCACCGC